AATGAATAGTGATTCAGACAAACCTATAAGTGGTTTGTTCGAGTAGGAGGAAATCTTCAGCCAACCTTGAATTGACAGACTGTGATATTCTTTGGCATGAATTTCTTTTCTTTCGGCATAAAATTTCGCAAACCTCATATTCATAAACGCAGCCATTTTTGGCTTAGGAAATGCAAGATAAAGCTTTTACCAAATTTTTATTTACACTACCCAATGTGACAAGTTATTCAAGTACAAACGAGTGTATTGTTGCGGAATTTATGGGTAGACCTCTGCGGGACGAGCGCAGCGAGTTCCGGAGTTATCTTTTCATTAATACGTTGTTCAAGTATGATACTAACCTCACTCACTCAAATGTCAGTTATTCTCATTAATTCAAAAACTTCAAGTTTCAGGTGAATGTCTTACTTGAACAGTTCAACAGTATATTGATGATTAGATGGCTGCGGAACTCGCTGCGCTCGTCCCGCAGAGGTCCACCTTTGAGTGCCGTAACAATCCACTTATTTGTACTTGAACAGTAACTTATTATATAAAGTCAAAATTTGTAAGATTATCTACTTTTTGTCAATTTGCCTTTTAACAGGAATTAGTAATGTTACTTTACCAAACTAGTAATATATTGTGGCAAGTTATTTAAGTACAAACGAGTGGATTGTTGCGAAATTTATGAGTGGACCCAGCCATCTACTCACCAATATGTTATTCAAATACAATAAGTAATAGCCTGATTCACTTAGTTGTGAATTTTTTTCATTAGTTCAAAAACTACACGTGTCAGGTGAGTGTCTTATTTGAACAGTTCAACAGTATATTGGTGAGCAGAGGTCCACCCATAAATTCCGCAATATCCACTTTTGTACAGAGTGTTTTTTTTATATATTGACACCCCACTTACAGCCTTTACCTTCACAGGTAGAAGAAAGGTGTAAATACAAAAGTTGTACAGTTTTGGCTGAATTTTTAGAAACTATGGTCAGAAACTAAATTTGAATATCAAAAATATGAAATTTTGCATGCTTCCAGCTTTTTTCAAATGGGATGCCCTATATTTCATTCTATATTCTTGAAGAGCACAATGCCCCGATCTATATTTTATTGAGCAATCTCTCATATATTTGGCTCTAAAAATTATAAAAATACTACTGATTTTGTGAACCATTCTGCCTGTACAGGTCAAAGCTGCAGGTAAAATTTGAAGTACTTGGTTTCTCTGATGGTATTTTTAAAATTTTTAGAACCAAATATGTTAGAGACGGCTCAACCAAATATAGACAAACTATATAGTTTTGGAATCGGGAAATAAAAAAAACAATACATCAACTCAATCACTAATGATATACTGTTTGAGGTTAAAGTTCTTGGGACAAAGACAAAAATGTAATTTTTTTATAGGTTTCCAGCTTTTTAAACATTCTTGGTTTTGTTTTCTTTTTTTTTTTTGAAAAAGGGGGGGGCACTTGCCCCCCACTGTATCCGCCACTGATAAGTAAACAATTCTTCATTTTTGTTTATCTCACATAAAAACTTAAAAAACCCTCCAATTTTGCCCTCTAAAAAATGTATACGAGTGGAAAAATTTGTTGGCCACAATGAACTTAAACCGCAAAGCTATAAGCTCATATCCAGTTTTGAAATTGTAATCGTTGTACCTATTTAGTGGTCATATAATAAAATTAACATGTGAGGTATACCCAGGGTTGCCAGACGTCCCACCTCAGGAGGGACAGTCTCGCATTTTGTTAATCGGTCCCGCCTTTTTTTTAATTAATTTCAGGTCCCGCTTTTCACGTGAATTGTCCCGATTTTCCCGCTTTTTTCCACCCAATCTTCACTTTTAGTGCAAAAAACACGCTCATTTTACAACTTTTCATATAAATAGCTATTTCTTCATTTAAAATCGATGCAAAAATCTTATAACGAGCCTCAATCGCAAGCATTTCATCGAGGTCTGCGAGTGACGTCACCACTATTAGCTGCTGACGTGGTGACGTCACTCGCAGACCTTGTGAATTCGAGAACCTGCGAACGTACGTCTTCTCAGGATGAGCAATCTTGTTAGTTTACGATTCTTGGGTTTTAATAATAAATGTTGTATGTTGTAGGTATAAAAATGTCAAAAATTCCAACAAAATCCAAATCTTTTATTGCACAGACTAGCATCTGCAAAAAAACATAAACTTTCGTTATATTTCACCTTAGCCGAAAACGTCACTTTCGTCACTAGTGATAAAATATCTAGTGACGAAAATGAATGATTAAGGATTTTACGTGTTAAAAACATTCTTTCAAATCCAATTATAATATAAAATGATATAATGTAATAAAAGCAAAATAATAGTAATAAAATTAATCAAAAACGAGAACTTTTTATAGATGGCGTCTTGATTCATACACGTTTTCAAGCGCCATCTATTAAACGAAGTAGGATCCCTTGTGAAAAAACATTACATTAGTTTAACAGCAAAAACCATAACATTAGAAAGTTATTGGAGATTTCAAAATAAAGCTAGCAGCAACTACCTTATTTAAATAGCGCTTTACCTAAACGCTCGGAAAAAACAGTTATAGTTCACGATCACGAACACGTCGAGATACGGCTGTTCTTTAAATATATTTCTAACCTAACTTTACTTACTGACAGTTTTGCTTTGCTGACAAATTTTAAAAATTTGTCAAAATAAGGACAAATTATATTATTAGTGCGTGACTTTATTCGTGCAGTAATAAAGTCTAGCACAAACATTAATAAAACTAGCCTTATTCAATGGCGCAACTGCGCAAGCGCAGATGTCAATATAGCGTTTGCATTATTACTGCTGAACCTTATTTCACTTCCAATAACTCTTTATTAGAGACTTTTTGCACTCCTTAAAATAACAGCAGTTTTTGGATCAGATATGGTTACCTTTATCGGCCATAACGATTACTACTACCTTCAAAATAAATCTATTAAATTTTCTTCAATGTGGCATCCACATAGTTTTACCATAACCATAGGCATAACTATAACCACAAGCTAGGTTATTCTACAGTGCTTATTCCTCCCTAAGTAATAGAGATTTGTCGCTATCGCGTAAGCTGCTTTATTTTAACAGTTATTTTGCTGAAGCAGCTATCACTGTTACTCGATTTTGAAAAAAGCTGCTTCGAACAACATAACCTTACTTCGCAGTTTTACTTTATTTTCTTCGAAGTATCCATCAATATGAGAGAATCATTTTGATTTTCCATAAACTAGACAAAGATACACTGCTCATCGTTGGATCAACCAGTGTAAAAAAAATCTGCTCGAACCCGAAAAGCCGATTTAAAAATGAAATATGCTTGTATACATGTGCACACGCAACACCAACCAAGGACCAACGGTATCCATAACCACTAGCATCGTTCCGGATAAACTATTTCTTTTAAGCAGCTATTTGATAGCTGCTACTTTAAAAAAGCGGTAACTGCTTCAACTGCTACTTAAAAATAGCAGTTTTGCCCATCTCTACTAAATAACGCCGATCGTTATGGTTGATAAGTACAACGAAATTTTTTTAGCTACTGCCACACTACTGCGCATACGCAGTATAACCATAACCACAGCGGAAAGGCGAAATAAGAGGTGCAAAAAGTCTCTATTGTCATGGAAAAAGTATAGCGTTTATTTATAGGGTATAAATAATGATGTTTTCTGTTGTTTTGTCGTGAAGCGTTTATTTTGTTATCTAATAAAGGGGAATTTTTTTTTTGGTGGAGTGTCGAGTTTTGGTTGAATTCCTAACAAAATTTGGGCGTGGCTCCAAAAAATTTGTTGCGCCTTTGCTCAAGGGGCTCCATAAGAGGGGGACACATTGGACCTTGCCCTTCCCCTCCTTATGCTTTTGGGCATGGCACCCGAAATTTATACCTCTGGATAACATCAGTCCCCGCGCTTTTTCATTTCATGGATCTGGCAACCCTGGGTATACCATACCACAATGGGGAATTAATAGGCTTATACCTACTAAACAAAAACTAGTTCGCTTACGTATAAAACCAAGCAAGTTTTGATTCGGCCGCAGGAAAATTGACTAAAAAAAAAAAAGAATCGATTCAAAGTTCTCGAGGTTAAATTGAGTTTTCAAAGGTTCGGGTAAATCAAATTTTATATGCAGACGCCCCGGGGGCTATACCCAGAAATGCTCATAGAGATACTAGTTTGTCTGTGAAGTCGACGAGACGCCAACTGTGTGCAGGTAAGGATTTAGAAAATTGGATAACAGATTAAAGTAAACAATGTCAAATAAAATAGGAATTTTTCCTCTTAGGATTTATGGACAAAAACCCTATATATCCTGCTCTAAAACTTTTCCTCTCGATGTACCAAACTGAAACTTTACTATTCTGTCTATTTATTATCCGGCCAGGTGCCAAGTTCACTAAAGTCAACACAATAAACTAAATTCTGTACCGAAACTCTTCTCTCTCCAAGGTAAATTGTGTGTCACACTTAGAAGACGGATAGGGCAACGTGGAATTTGTTTCAGCTTCCGACATCCAAAGAATAATTAGTATCCGCGTGAATGGCAAAAGTGGTTTGTTAATTGAAAATACTTTTGAATTTAGTTGCTTTCAATAAACAATTCGTTAGCGTTAATGTTTAACAAACAGCCACTTTAAACGACTTTTACCGTCCATAAAGTGAACCATTATTAGCCATTCGCTAATGGACCCATTCTTCCGTAATATTTCCTGAATTTATCTCTAAGCTGCCTGGCTTGCTTTCCCCGCGGTGCGGTGCGCGCGAAGTGTACTAAAGCAAAGTAATAAATATTTTCCACTTTAGACGGGAGATTGTGTGTGTTATGAATAGAAGCATATGTAGTTTAGGGCGTATTATGCATTATGCATACCTGAAGGGGCCTTCACGTTTTGGAGAAGAATATTCCTTTTTGTTGGAGATAAAGGTTTTTTGCACGGCATTAGTTTGTGGTGAGGTATATGTTGTTCTAATATAAAGCTAAAAAACTTACTTATGTCAAAGGCCTCCGCTTGCTCAATCCGTAAAATACAACTGAAAAACGCTGCTATCAGATGAAGTCCAAAAATCCACATGTTACACTCATTGACCTGAAAAAAATCATAAATTACAGCATCAAGGGCATAACAAGTTAGGTAACTCAATATTTATGTTCACAAGTTGAAATGAAACAAATTTTCATAATGTTAAATAACTAATAATTCTACTGTAAAAGTAAAGTTGAAAATTTGAGAGTCTGATATTCTTTGCAGAACGCGTTTAAAAAGCATTTCCTTGTAGATAATTGAAACTTTTCTCTCTTTTTCGCAAAAGGTAGGTACATTTTATTTATTCATTACGAAGTATGGTCGGCCGCGCCTAAAACATTTTCAACACAGCTCAGAAGTTGCAGCTTTCACCAGAATGGGATTTGATGCAAAAACTAGGAAAATTAGACATATTGATATTTGTTAATGGGAATTTTATACAGTTTCATTCTACTCTTAACTAAGCAATCACGCATTTTAAAACAGGGAATATTCATAATTCAATTAATAGCGCCATACAATTTTCAACCGAGATATTTGTATGGCATGAACTTAATAAAAGAAATAAGACAAAACATTAACATGTGTTATTTGTTACATTATGCGTTATATTTAAGTTAAATTTTACCTTATTTTGACTTGAAAAGAAAATTATAAATTATATAATTAGGTAAAGTAGTTTGTTCCGATAAATTTATCATTTACGTAACATGTTCCATCTCTTCTTATTTCCATTATAAAGTTGTATTTTTTTTTTTTATTTCAGAATTCAAAATAATTTCCAATATTCTAAAAATATCCATTAAATTCAAGTAATACAAGTGCTGCCATCTATCCACATTTGCGTAAAATTCTCGGTAAAATGCAAGTATCGAGAATTGATTTTTTAGTGCTGCCATCTAGTGCCCGATGATCTATATTTCATTGATGATTTTTAAAATTCGCATTTGGCAGTTATTTGTATTTTAATTGAAAGAAATTATATTCGTCTCACTTTTAGCAAATGGATATATTTCTGTCCTTTTTTAACTTTTGATTCTTAAATATTCATTTTTGGCTTAATGATCCAATTAATTAACAATCTTTTATCTTTGACATAACCTTAATTTAAATTATTATAATTTGTAAACAATTAAAATAGTTTTAGTGGATTTTTTAACTATTTTCGTTTATTCCATGCGGTTTTCATTGTGTTTTCATTTTGAAGTGAATATGGTCTTTTCGAGTGTACTCGTTTGATTGGTTCAAACTGGCTGGAATGCAGTAAATATAAAAAACACAGGTTCGTTTTCCTGCTAGCTTGGTTCTCTAAAACGTTCTCTTCTTGAACAACACTCTGGCCAGGCAAGTACTCTTTTTTTTTTTAAATAATTTTTGAGCTGTGAATTTTTCCTTTATGGATTTTTCAATATTCAGATTATCCTATCTTTATTGAGTTTTTACTGATAAACCTTATCTTATCTGTTTTTTGAAATATAAATATTATTTTGATTGAATCGGCTTTTACTTGGTGGAAATCCATTATCTAATAAAAGATTTTTTAAGTAAATTTTAATACTTATATATTTCCACAATTTTTTGTTAAACTTTTAACATGTTTCGCTAAACTTCAGCTTCATCAGAAAGATTTTAGAAAAATAAAATGTAGACATAAAAGTGAAATTGACAAATATAAAAAAGGTAAAAGCTGGTCTAATTTTATGTTAATTTAAATAGGTATTACACAGTAAATAATTATATATAATAATAATTATATAGTATAATAATTAATTCACCACTTTTAAATTTATTTACTGTGTAATACCTATTTAAATTAACATAAAATTAGACCAGCTTTTACCTTTTTTATATTTGTCAATTTCACTTTTATGTCTACATTTTATTTTTCTAAAATCTTTCTGATGAAGCTAAAGTTTAGCGAAACATTTTAAAAGTTTAACAAAAAATTGTGGAAATATATAAGTATTAAAATTTACTTAAAAAATCTTTTATTATATAAATATTATATTTTAAATATTTTTTATCTAATTGTTGGCTTCCATTTTGTGTGAATTACTTTGCTTATTGGTTAGTGCCACGTTTTGTTATAATTAGTAAGTCAAGATAGTTTTTTTTTGGTTTTAAATAGGTACTGCTGCTCTGGCTTTCAGAATCAATTTTTAGTGTGGGAAAACTGGACCATTTGCTCTAAATAGAGTCGGTGAAAACCAAATTTGTGAGTCCACCCCATTAATCCTTTATTGAATCCAGGCAGAGGCCTGAACAACCATTTTCTGCTTGACTCCCTAAATTATCTTATCTTATCTTATTTTAAATATCTTAACTAAAGGGTGTTTTTTTTTTTTAATAGAAATCCAGACAGGTCAAAAGTTCAGTTTAAAAGTTTTAATTAAGACATCTCAAGAATTTTGACACATTCTGGATTTGATTAATATCATCCCTAGGTTTATCTAGTATCTGTAGTAGCTAACTTAATTCGAAGGGAGAATTTTGTCTATTTGGGGAGGAATCCAGACATTTGATATCTTAATTTTTTTTACTTACCTTATTTTTGCTCATATTTTTGCCGGCCAGAGCTGTTTTCAAGGAAGCAGCATTTTGCTCAATTATTGTAACGAGCATTCTAATTTATTCTTGTTAATTACCTTATTTTTTTTTCCTATTATCTTATCATTGGTTTTAATTATTCAAGTACCTAATTTTTTTTTATAATAAAATATATTTTTTTTTTAACTTGCAATAATTGTTCATACCTGATTCTGTTGGAAGGGAGTGTCTGTATAACAATCATTTTGTACTAAATTTCAATTTCAATTTCCTGTGCAAGACACTCACTTTTTAACAGAATTCAGGAATTTAATGTTCCAAATATTGGTGAACCTGATACTGCCTTATTCTTTTCTGGGTACCTACTCTACCTAAAGATCACTGTTTGGAGTTTGGATCAGCTGGAGTGACGTCACCCTAGCAATCTATCCTCTTCCTGGATACAGGAAACGACACGAAGACCTCCAGTTCACGGAAGTGAAACCCCAACATCCATTGAAGAGCTCCGGATTGGAAAGCAGGTACTTGGTATCAGATTCACCAGAACAATCAAGCTGTTAGCAGTGACATTTTAAATAACATTGTATGTACACTAAATAAAATTATTGTTTGTTGGATTTTTGAGTGGTTTCATTTGCACGTAAAGAGACTACACGTTATCTTAATTTTTCTTTGAATTCACAACCCTAGGTTATCTTTTCCTTAAAGCATACAAATAATCTAAATTATTTGTAACAAGTTACGTACATTGTCCGGTGCCTATTTCCTTCAATTAAATAAAGCTAGTCTCGTTAAAACTTGTACGGGCGTATAGGCTGCCTTAAATGGATTTTCTTAAAATTGCCTAAAATATGAAAGTCACATAGAAGGCGAACTTGTCTTTTTGAATCTGAATAAATTTCAATTTTGTTTTTGATGGAAATGGTAAAATCAAAATTTTGCATAGAAAAACACATACTATTTGTGTTTTTATGTGACTATTATTTTGTTTCAAAAAATCTGTACGAATTTTTAATTAAATTCGATACGCAGATTGGAAATCTTTTCTTCAAATCGGCTGCAAACTTTTCAACAAAGTAAATTTATAATAATTACTACCTAGTTGCTCGGAGAAAGGCTCATCAAAACTTTATTAGATGCTCGACTCGGAGAATTTTCCACTTTTAGAGACACAGAGTGGATTTATGACTGAATTTTAGCCATTTACTCATGCTATTAAGAAAATAAACGATTGGTTGAACTTTGTCGTTTGGCATGGCAATAATCGTCTTGAAAATGACTGGAAATCTTCCATAAGATGTTATCAAAGAAACGTTGACTCTTTTTAGCTGAAGTATTAAAAAACATATATTCATACATATTTTTCCAAAAAAAAAAAGATCCAGAGGCTTATCAGTCCAAATCCCTTGTTGCCCTTTCTCGAGCTCTCTCGGGGTGTAAAGATGCCTAGTTCCGATTATGAAAAGCCGAGCCTTTTTTCGCGCAATTCGACCCGAAATCCTTTTTACCAATATGTAAACTACGTCCTAGGGGTGAAATAGAAAATTTTAGTCGGCAACTCGATTTTTTCTTCCTTATCTCCGGTGGGCCCTCTCGACGTGCCGAGAAATTTTTTCTGAGACTTCAATGGAAGTCAATAAAAAACTCGTTTTAGGGATCTAGGTAAACAATATGGCGAAGTTTTCATATGCATCAATATTTTCATGAGCAAGATATGTAATATGAACATTTCTGACTTTTAAAAGAATCATATTACTCAAAGAACTTCATCTCAAATAATATATTAGTGAAAAATTAATAGTTTGTGTCTGATCATCGGGGAGAATATAGGTAAGCAATAAGTGCTAATCTCATTATTAAATGATGCGCAACCCTTGTCAAAGATTCAAAATAGTATGACATACATAATTCCGTTTCTTTGATTTCCGAACCTGCAGTCGTGTCCAACAAAGTGGTGTCTCAATAAAGGGGCTACAATCCCTGAAAATTTCAGCTCATTTGCACTTATAGTTCCTGAGATAAAATCGTATTAAGCAATTTGGGGTGATTTATCAATTTTTCAATTTTTCTGAGTGCCTTTTTTCATAGATTTCGGCTTCAAATCTGAGAATAATTTAGTGTATGGAGTTTGGGGGATGTTTATTGACTATTAAGATACAAAATCTCGACAAAAAAAATTTTTAAATGATTTAGATTTTGAAAAACTTTGAAAGGTCATAACTTTTTTTCTATTATAGAAGAAAGCTGAAACTTTTACTGAATTTTATCCCAATCAAGGCACTACAATCCCTGAAAATTTCAGCTTATTTGCATTTATAGTTCCTGAGATAAAAACGTGTTAAGCAAATTGGGGTGATTTATCAAATTTTCAATTCTTCTGAGTGCCTTTTTTTATAGATTTCGGCTTCAAATTTGAGAATAATTTAGTGTATGGAGTTTAGGAGATGTTAATTGACCATTTGGATACAAAATCTCAACAAAAAAAAAATTGAATTCATCGTTTTAGTAAGAAGGTACC